AGTTGCAGTATAATAATAACATGCATACACATGTAGGTTCTCAAACAGCTCTTGTTAGTTTTGTTATGCCTCCGCCAGAAAATTGGGGCCATATAGTGTTGCCCATGTCCGTCCCGTCCCGTCCCCCGTCCCGTCCCGTCCCGTCCCGTCCTATTCTGTCCTGTCATGTCGCATCCTGTCGCAATTCCATGTAAACACTCTAGCAACTTCATTTTTTGACATATTTTGATCAAACTTTATACGAAGGTCAAGTATGAGAATATCTCACATATTTGGGTTTTAATGTTCCAAGGTCAAGGCTAATGTCACTGTTGCTGTATATAGAAAATCATTAACTGGTTCATTTTCCTTATTCTAGCTACTTAATTTCTTAACAGATTTTCATCAAATTTATACAGATTTCAAGTATGAGAAATAACCTCGGATGGGATCATGTTCCCAGATATCAAATTCAAAGCCAAGGTCACCTTTTCTATTTATAGAAAATCAAAAACCAATTCAGTGACATCAGTCTATCAACTTTATTTCATGATGGAAATTTTATAAAAATTTATACAAAGGTCAGGTATGATGAAACCTCGGATATCTCTGTGTTTCAGGATTCGAAGATCAAGGCCAAGGTCACTTGTTATATGTGATTTTGATTCAAGTTTTACAGACTTCATGTTGCTATTCATAGAAAAAGCTCTCTTAATTTCTCCATTTATAAACATGAAATAACGTACATATTTTGAGTTGTCAAAATCAAAGTTGTTGTAACTATTTATAGAAAATTATCAAACACTGAAACTAATTTCACATAGCGACGGGGGAATTCATGTTTTACAGACATTTTCTAGTTAGAATTGTTTAGAGAACTGTTACAATGACAGGACACAAGGTTGCCTAGGTTTTCGTTTCGTAACTGACATGACCTTTTTTTTTACTTTTTTTTTTTTACCTTTTACTGTTCTTATGTAACTTGAGTTTTCACTCTGAAATTAGTGATATTTTTGTGATTTCCCTTATAAAAGTGAAGGGACTTCCTGTTCTGTTCATAAGTGATATAAGATCTTAAAGTTCAGACTGTAAATTATCCTATGAGAAACTTATGTAAGGCATATCTATCAGACTTGAACTATAAAAACCCAACCCACCAATTCAATAATAATGATATGGAATTATGCAAGTCTTTTAAGGGTTATGTCATTGTACATTTGTAGCTATTATCGGTACAGGGTCCTTACATGGTTGGTTAACTGAGGGCAAAAAACGCTATTTAGTTCCTAGATTTTACACTTATTACAAGTTTTTAATCTTTATTCCGTACGCTTTAAGATTATCAGACTAGTTTGTTGAATAGTGTTCAGTGGGAGGAAAACTGGAGTACCCAGAGAAAACTCACGTGGTCAGGCAGGTGACCCCATATACCCTTTCATGTCTGATCGGGGAATCAAACCCCTGCCGCTTGGTGAAAGGCAAATGTGCGACCGGACCGCCCTCAAGATGTTACTCCAATGTTACTTCTGGTTAAGTCCAGGTCTTAGCTGTAGCTTCCTGTCTCAAGCGGTAACTCCTCCATGTCTCAATGTGTAGCTTGTCTGAAGCCTTATCTCAGCTGTTATTCTTAATGTCTTGCTGTAGCATTTGACTCGGCTGTAACTGTTTGACTCCTTGTCTGAGGTGTAACTCCATGTCTCAAATTGTGTCGCTTGTCTGAAGCAGTAACTCCTTGTCTTAAGGTGTGTCTCCTTGTGACAAGGTGTAACTCCTTATCCCAGCTGTTATCTCTTTGACTCCTTTTCTGAGGTGAAACTCTTTGTCTCGGTGTAATTTCTTGTCTCAGCTTAAACTTCTGGTCAAAAGCTGTACGTAACTCCTGGTCTTGCTGTAATTCCTAATGTCTTGCTGTACCTTCACGACTCAGCTGTAACTCCTTGCCTGAGGTGTAATGCCTTGTCTCAAGCATTAGAGTATCTTAAGCTATGACTCTGTGCCTCAATTATATTCAACTATGCACCCATTCTCTTTAACTGTAGAACTAGAGTGTCTTAGAGTAAAAATGTTATGTTGACTTGAGAACACTGGAGAACCTGTTCATAAAAAACTCCCTCAAAGGAAACAAACACAAACTGGCATCTGGAGAATATAACTGGGCATAGTGAATTAAGTGGAAAACAAAAACAGTTGAGTAAGAATCAAGATGAGTGTAAAAGTACAGAGTGTTGGGACCTTAACTGGTCTGAATACTCCATGTGTTACTTATAGTTTTACACAGAATCAAAGATTTGTTATCTGGGCTAAAGATTCTGATAAGTGCTGTTAGTTGGAAACTTACCTGGGCCACATATTCTGATAAGTGTTGTTAGTTGGAAACTTACCTGGGCCACAGATTCTGATAAGTGTTAGTTATAAACATACCTGGGCCACATATTCTGATAAGTGTTGTTAGTTATAAACTTACCTGGGCCACAGATTCTGAAAAGTGTTGTTAGTTATAAACTTACATGGATCAAAGATTCTGATAAAGTGTCAATATTTTTGCACTTAACTGTACTTGTGTCAATTCAAGACCGCTATTTCAACATTAGTAGTCGTAGTTGAAATGAATGTAAGTTTTAACTTATTCTTTTGAGATCTGAGTTATAAACCTACCTGGGCCACAGATTCTGATAAGTGTGTTAGGTTTAAACTTACCTAGGCCACAGATTCTGATAAGTGTTGTTAGTTTTAAACTTACATGGGCCACAGATTCTGATAAGTGCTGTTAGTTTTAAACTTACCTGGGCCACAGATTCTGATAAGTG